TTCAGTTCTTTGAGTTTGAGAAATGCCACACAAGCTCTTTCTTTTTTTATTCATCAACTCTTAACTCTTTGTGCATTCCATTATAATAATTTGCTTTATCTTCTTGAGCTGCCCTTTGAATTATGCTTATCCCTTTTACTTTGGAATCTCTTCCTTTTGTTTCTGTTCTTGATGTTCATAATGCTTATTGTATAGGGTTCTTGTGAAGGTTAAATGCATTAATCATGCAAAACATTTGGAACATTATTATATAGTAAGAACCGTTTGCTGTTAAAACCAATTATTAGGTTATAGGAATTAGAGACTAATATGATTAAAGAGTTTTCCTTTTTTGAAGATCTTGAAATCTGGTGGAGGTGAGTGGGACAGGTAAGCTGGACTATGATGGAGGTCCATATAAGGGAGATCAATGACAGGAACATTTTCTCCCTAAGGGCTGACAGGGAGTCAGGGACTATCCCACAAATGAAGTGACATTCTAGCTGAGATTTAGTAGGTGAATGGGAGTTAATAGTGGGTTTATTGACAACAATCCTTTTAGGGAAATATAAGCAAAGTCACAGTGTATACGTAGGAGACACTAGAGGTGGCAACTACTGAGAGTACTCTTAGCATAAGGATTGAACCAGGAGGTATTGAGAAGTGAAGATCAAATAGCAACTGATACTGTCAACAAAATCTGTTTTAAACTACCTAAAGTGTTGTTACTGTTATAGAGGTTGTTGTTGTTACATGCCATTGAGTCATCTGTGACTCATAGAGACCCTGTGTACAACAGCCCTAAACCCTGCTGTATCCTATGCCAATCTTATTGTCTCTGATACACCTACCCCCATTATCCCAGTCACTAAATAAATCCATCTCATCAAGGATCTTCCTCTCTTTTACTATCCCTCCACCCTCTCAAATATGATGTCCCTCTCCAGTGACTAGTCTCGCCTTGCAACATGTCCAAAATATGCCAAAGCTTCAAAATTCCTTGCCTTCAAGAAGCAGCCTGGTCTCACCCTCTCTAGGATGAGCCTGTTTGTTCTTCTAGCTGTTCATGATATATTCAAGATTCCTTTCCAGCACCACAGCTCAAAGGCATCAATTCTGCTTCTATCACCCCTAGTTATTGTCCAGCATTCTGATGCATAGTAAGCAATTGCAAAGACCATGGCCTGAATCAGGTGCACCTTAGTCTCCAGCCTATAGAGGTAGGAAAGGGGAAAACTCAGTTTTCCCAGCCAAATGAAGTAATGAGACAATAATAGAATTTGCTGGGAGGAGCTGGCTTCTGTTGTTGGATTACAAAGTAAAACCTTGCCAGAAGAAACGTTTTGTATTTCTGCTTTTCTTCCATATAGAAGTTGGACTTGAGGCAAGAACTTGGGTCCTATTCAGCAACTGCTTGGCTTAGACTGGTGAGAAATTTCTCATCTCGGTAGGCTTTCCCATACCAAATACATGTCCATATGGCTAATGACATCAAAGCTGTGGAATGTCCAGAAGACTCTGCAGGGAAACTATGACTTTGACTTTTAGATGATGGGCACTGTAATATAGTTTTGAGATCAAGAGCATATCAGGACACTTATACAGACTTTGCTTTGAATTCCAGTTCAAGCAGTAACTAGTTTTGTAACTGAAAAATGTGTTATCCTCCTTCTGAACCTCACTGAGCAAAGACTTGAGGAATCTTATTTTAGACCAATAAATTTAAGTGTGTTGAGTGGAATGAAGGAATGTTTTCATAATTTATTCTGCTAAGATTAATATAACAACAATAATATATTATGGCAGGTTTGGAAGCAGGAGTTGGCATCCACTTCCTAAACAACATGCCCCCAGAAGCTCTATAAACTTTGAGAAATGTCGATAGTTGTAGAGGGTCTTCAGGCCTTTTGTTCATAGGTTGCTTTGAGTCTGGCTTGACTCATCATCATCATCAACAGCAACTACAAAAAGATTAGTAGCAGATTATTTACAAGAAATCTCAGGCCAACATAGTCCCACATACTTAACTAGCTGGATGTGTCCATAATTTCTAATATGAACAGTTCTAGCCATGCCTCAGTTCCCCAATTCTTTTATGGCCCTTGGGTTCAGTTTCACTAAAAGAGCTCCTAGAGACTGAGACCTGTCACCGAAATTACATATAACCATATGCAGCAGGCTGGTTTTGGAGAAACTGGAGAGTGGTGGGCCAGAATCCTATAGACTGTCACTTGTGGCACAACTAGATGGTGACTATGGATAATGCAGACTGGTGGAGTAGAGACTGTCAGCAGCTGGAAGCTATGTCACAGGTAAATAAATGAGTTTTTCTAAAGGAAAAAATGCCTGGCACTGAGGTCCCATGCGTTTATATAAATATCTGTAGAGTGGGACTTGTATCCAATCCTAATCCTCTCTCCTTAACATAATAATTACTTTAGCATAAAATAAACATTAATCTTTTGGCTAGGAAAGACAATTTTGAATGATAAAACTAGACACCAAGAAGGTGGTTAAGGGCAGATCAATAATGTGTTTTCTGGTGTTGGACCAGATTAAAATAATCTGAACTAACAATTCAGAAATTATTTCAGGACTTAATCTGGATCCTAGAGGACATTTTTAACCAAAGAAATCTGACTGTGCTGAACTTTATAATTCTTCACTGAGATTCATAATGCCTTTATGACCAAATGTCTTAGAACAAATTTCTCTAACAATCTTGAGAAGAAAGAGATCTTTTCTCTGTGAACTGTAAATTTTCATAATCTCTTGTAATAACCACAAGAACACAGAGAGGAGTAAATCATTTCAGCCTCATTATTCTCTGTTAGCTACACTAACAGGGAGATTTGGTGACCTAGTGGTAAGGAGCTGTGCTGCAATCCCATAGGCATGTGGTTCAAATCCATCACTGTAGCTCCAGAGGAAAGGATGGGCAATCTCCTTCTGTGAGATTAAACTGCCTCTGAAAACCTGCTGGAGGGTCACCTATGGGTTGATTCTGACTCAGCGGCACATAAAAACAACAGTGGCACTAAAAGTGATGAAGTTGTTGTTTGCTAAAATTAGCAGTTCATTTCCACTCTGTTTGGGGGGGAGGGCACTAAAGTGCAAGTATATTTTCATTAGGTCCACTTAGAAGGACTAACAAAAATTCACATGTGAGGCTGAAGTCAAGATGAATTTGGCTTAGGAAGCAAGTGGTGTAATTTAAAAGATAATGGAAAAACTTGGCCCCAAATGTCTGATTGCATTATCCTGGCAAGGATGATTATAAGTTCTACATTCAGACTAATTTACGAGAAACAATCCATTTTCATCATTAGCAGCTGAATGAGAAAATATTTATGCTTAATATCTGAGAAACTCTTATTTCATGCTTATACATCTAGTTAATTGACTGAGCTATAATCTGAATCAGTTTGTGTGACCACAAAGATATACTTTTAACCAGCTGTGATGGCTTAGTGGCAAGAAACTACAGTGCAATACAGAAGGCATACAGTTGGGGGCCACTAGCTGCTCCATGGGAGAAGGATAAGCAACCTCTTCTCATGTGATTAACTGCTTCTGAAAACGCGCTTGAGACTCAGCTATGGGTCGATTCTTATTCTATGATAAACAAGAACATATGATACTATGCGAAGGCATTTGACTTGTGTGGATCATAACAAACTACGGATAACTCTGAAAAGGGAATCCAGAACACTTGATTACGCTTATGTAAAATCTAAACTTGAACCAAGAGCAATAGAACAGAACAAGGAAACACTGCATGGTTCAAAATCAGGAAAAGTGTACACAGGGACTCATCTTATTTCCATATTTTTACAATCTACATGTAGAAGAGATCATCTGGGAAGCTGGGCTCTATGAAGAGAAATGTGGCATAAGGATTGGCGGAAGACTTATCAACAACCTGCATTATGCAAATGACACAAACTTGCTTGCTGAAACTGAAAAGGACCTGACACATTTGCTGTAGATGGTCAAGGACTACAACCTTCAATATGAATTGAAGCTCAACACCAAGAAAACAGATTCTTGTCACTTGGACAATTGGTAACATCATGATAAATGGTGAAGAGATTGAGATGGTTAACAGTTTCAGCTTATTGGCTCCACAATCAACACTGTTGGTACTAGCAGCCAAGAAGTCAAAAGACTAATTGTACTGGGAAAAATCTGTTGTCAGGAACCTCTTCAGAGTACTGAAAAGCAACAATGTCAACTGGGAGACTAAGGTGCACCTGATTCAGACCATGGTCTTTGCAATTACTTGTATATGTCAAAGAGCTGGACAATGACTAAGGATGTTAGAAGAATTGATGCCTTTGAGTTGTGGTACTGAAGAAGAGTACTGAATATACCATGCACTGCTAAAAGAACAAAGAGGTTCATCTTGGAAAGAATTTTGAAGCTCTGTCTGACATACTTTTGGTATGTTGCAAGGAGGAGCCAGTCCTTGGAGAGGGACACCATGATTGGAAGGGTGGAGGGAGAGTGCAAGAGAGGAAGACTCTGGATGAGACTGACTCTGTGACTGGAGTAGTGGAGGTAGGTATGTTAGAGACAACAGAGTTTTCTCAAGATAGAGTATGGTACAGGGCTGTTGTACATAGGGTCATTATGAGTTGCAAGCGACTCGAGGCACACGACAACAACAACAAATGATATTGCCTATATTCTCTTGGACAAACCCCCTCTCCAGTCTGATTACATATGCTGTATAGATTTATATTCTCATGGTAAAGCTACAAGCCAGATAGCCAAATGAAACTCTTATACAAGTATCACTTTGAAGGAAACTTCGTCATAGTGAGGTTCAGGATTTTGTGGGAAGAAGCACCTTACTTCCGATGTGTAGTGAAGAAAGGGCTTTAGAAGGCAAAAGATTAGTTATTTCAACAAACTTCCTACCACGGCACAAACCATGAGTTGGATAATTGCATTTCATGTCTCTTTAACTCCCCCGTACACTTTTTATCTTTTCTACTTATTAAGGCCCAGCCACTCACCTCAGCTTGCCAGACAGGGTTCACAGTATTGCCTATAATCTTGGACCTCCTCTCCTGTCCATGGTGAGGAAGGGCAGGAAAGATACTGTGCTTCCCTGGTTGGATGGAAATCTTCAAATAAGGATCTGGGTTGAAAAACATCCCTTTCTTCAGCCCCATGGCCTGGAAATCTGAAAAAGAAAAGATTTTAACCTGTCACCACATCAAGATAAAAGTAAATAATCCAATAGAAAAATGGGCACAAGATATGAACAGACACTTCACCAAAGAAGACATTCAGATGGCTAACAAGCACATGAAGAAATATTCAAAATCCCTGACTCTAAGAGAGATGCAAATCAAAACAACTATGAGATATCATCTCACCCCAGTCAGAATAGCAAAATTTAACAGAACAGCAAACAAGAAATGCTAAGGAGGTTGTGGAAAAACTGGAACTCTTATTCACTTTTGTGGGAGTGTAAAATGGTGCAATCACTGTGGATGGCAGTATGGCACTTTCTCAAAAAGTTGCAAATAGAGACACCATTTGACCCAGCAATTCCACTACTGGGAATATACCCCAAAGAGACCATAATTAACATCCAAGCAGATATATGCACACCCATGTTTATTGTGGATTTGTTCACAATAGCAAAGTGTTGGAAACAACCCATGTGCCCATCAACAAACGAATGGATAGAGAAGCTGTGGTATAGTCACACAATGCAATACTATGCTGTATTAAAAAATAAGAAACTCATGAAATATTATACAAAATGGATGACTCTGGAGGACATGATGCTGAGTGACATATCTCAGTCACAAAAGGACAAATACTGCATAGTGCTCCTGTTGTAAAACAGGACTGACATCAGGGTTGGGGAGAACTTAAGAAAAGAGGGTATAAATAATGTATACTGCATGAGGGAAAGAACTGTTTAAAAGGGATTAGGTATTATTGTCATGACAGGAGTCCAGAATGAAGAGTACACAGTGAGTGGATGGGGGTGGGGGGAGGGATTGTATAAAAATGAAAGAATTTTTCTTTTACTTTTCAAAGAACAGAGTAAACTGAGGAGGAGGGGTGGGCAGAGGAAAATGTGCAACAATGAATGAATGGAAATCCAAAGTTTCTATATACGTTCATTAAAAGTAATAATAAATTTTATTATTAATTTCAATGAAAATTTACAGAGACTTTGGATTTCCATTCATTTATTGTTGCACTTTTCTCCCCTCCCAACCCTGTCCCCTAGTACACTACCCTCTTGGAAAAGTAAAAGAAAAATGATTAGTAAGTTCAGGGTCAGAGAAAAAGAAGATATTAAATGAGATTAATTGATACAGTGCCTAAAACAACACAATCAAGTACAGAAACTGTGAGGTAAGCACAGTACTGGGAAGTGTTTCATTTTATTCTATATAGGATCACTTTGAGTTGGAACCTACGATATCTGAAAAGAGCAACAAAGATCTGTTGAACTCTACAAAGGTTAAAAACCCCTGAAAACATGGAAAAATTCTTTAAATCTGTAGACTGTTTCCTATAACATTACGAATAAGAATAGTTATTAGGTGCCATCGCTTCAAGTATGACTCATAGTGATCCTAAGAGCAACAGATCTGAACCCTGTCTTATCATGTGCCAAAATCCCACCTCCTGATATACTAGAGCCCACTGCAGCAGTCACTGTGTCAATCCACCTGGTTGAGGGTTCTTCTCTCCATCGCTGACCCTCTGCCTTTCTGAGCATGATGTCCTTCTCCACAGAATAGACCCTCCTATAAACATGCTCTAAATATGTGAGATGAAGCTTCATCTTTTCCTCCTAAGAGCACTCTGGTTGCCCTTTCTCCAAGACATATTTGTTTGTTCTTTTGACTCTCCATGGGATCAAAGGCATCAATTATTCTTCCGTCATCTTTATTCATTTTCCAGCTCTTAGGTGCATAGCAAGAGTTTGGAAAGGCAATAGTTTGAATCAGACACACCTTACTCTTCAAACATGCATCATTACTCCTTAATAATTTGTCCCTAACTTCACACATTCCCAGTGTAATATATTTCCTGATTTCCTAACTGTTAGTCTCCAAAGTACTCAAGAGAAACTATGTCAGTCTGGAGACTAAAGTGTGCCTGATACAAGCCACAGACTTTGCAATTACTTGCTATGCATCAGTAAGCTAGGGATGATAGAAGGAGAATTGATGCCTTTGAGCTGTGGTTCTGTAGAAGAGTATTGAATATACCATGGATTGCTAGGAGAACAAATGGGTTTGTCCTAGAGAGGTGAAATCAGGCTGCTCCTTGGAGGCAAGGATTCTGAGGCTTAGTCTGAATACTTTGGACATGTTGCAAGGAAGGACCAGTCCTTGGAGAAGGACGCTATGCTTGGGAGAATGGAGGTACAGTGCAAGAGAGGAAAACCCTTGATGAAATGGATTGATTCAGTCACTGGGGTAATGAAAGTAGGTGTGTCAGAGACAGTAAGATTGACACAGGATAGAGTAGGGTTCAGGGACGATGTACATAGGGTCAATATGAGTCACAGGTGAAATGATGGCACATTACAAAAACAATAACAAGTACTAACGGTGCTAATTGTGGATCCAAGTAAGATGAAATTGTTGACAGTTTCAATCTTTTTTCTTCTATCATGATTTTGCCTATCAGGTTAAGTGGTAAGAATTCTTGTTTTTCTTGACATTAAGATGCAATCCATATTGAAGGATATTTTTTATTATTCTATTGTCATCTTTATTCATTGTGGATTTTAGATCCATAACACGTAATTGAAAAGACCATGGTTAAGTCAGATGTATCTTAGTCTTTAAATTGATATCATTGTTCCCTAACACCTTAGAGAGTTGTTGACAGAAGATTTACTCAGTGCAATATGTCTAGGTCCAAGCAAGATGAAATTACTGGTTCAATCTTTTCTTTATCATGATGCTGCCTACTGGTCCAGTTGTGAATATTTTTGTCTTCTTAAGTATTCTTTCTTATGAACTAACTTGTCTATTTCTCTCATTGCCATCAAATGGATACTGACTCATAGTCAACACTGCAGCAGGTTTTCAGAGGCTATAAGTAGCATTAATATGATGGCCCATATTGTCTACAGAATCTACTAAGTGAAACAAATGCTAATATGCATGAAAATGAATTCTGATAAGAGGTTCGTATGATAACTCAATCCTTCTAGTGTTGTGATACTCTTCACAAAGGTCAACTGCTCTCAACTGGACTTTATGTGTTCCTTAAATAGGTTCATTTAAGGGGGCTAGAGGATGAGAAGTTAAGTTTCACATCAGAGAAAGTGAGGGGACACAGAGAAAGGGAAACTAACTTTTATTTTTCAATGGATCTAGTGTAATAAACCCCTTTGTGAAGTGAATACATAAGTAAAATGAATTTAGTTTGGCACTAAATACAGTCTTCACTGAGTAAGAAGAGAGAAAATTAGGAGAAATAAAGAGAAAGTTTAGTGAGGTAAAAGCATATGCACTGGAGAAAATACATTATCTATATAATCTTTATGGAACCTGGGCCTGAAGTGTCAGGCCCAGATAAGGTCAAAGGGGAGAATGAAGGATTCAAAGAGTAAGACATGTCAACACAGGGAGTGAATGGTTTTGCCCACCTGGCTAAACCACAATGGGATATCCTTCCCTCCCTAAAGACTCTCCTATAACCCTTCCCAACAGCTTCCTAAGGGCAACTTCCATATTCTCCATTTTAAGACCAAGGAACCTCACCCAGGAGCTCCCTTAGTAAAGCTACTTCAAGCTTTCTCTCTTGTTCTCGTCCTTTCCCTGGGTCCTTGACCTTACGTCTGGTGCAAAAAAACCCTAACATCTGGTGCACAAAACCTGGGAGAGGAGTTGAGGCCTGTTGCACCTTTGCTGTCTTTTGGGGTGAGTGTGACACCCCACACTCTCTTTCTTGACCCTAGCGGCTTGCACGGTGTCAAGATCTCAAACGGTAACATAATGCAAAGTCCAGTTATTGAATGTTTTGAGTGCTTGTAAAGAGGCTCCGCAGCTGATGCTACTCTGAAGCCAGAGAGTTTGATTGGGTTCCCACTTGTGGTTTCATGGTATTGTCCTATAGCTTAGTGGTGATTTTGAGGATTATCTAGGGACCCCAACAAGGCTTAGGTTTGATAGAGGCACATCTATTTCTAAGAGAACAGCAGGAGGGACACCAGCATGGACTTGAGGGGACAGACCCTCTGTTGTCTATTTCCATCCATTTTGTATTGATGTCTGATTATCAATAGTGTCCACTTTCCCTGAACTACTCATCCTTCCTGTCCACTGTTACATCTATTCTGCAAGAGTCCTTGCTGGGACTCCTCCCATCAAAAACCCTTTGCCTCTATTCTTCTGACTCTTGCCTCTCCACTCTCAGAATCCTTTTCTGATTCCTCCCCTCTCCCAAGAAAGGCCCCTTTGCTCATACAGTCCCCAGGCTTTTTGCTGCCAGGCATTTTGGACTCCCTTGGGATTCAGGTCTGTCCATACTGGATTCCTGTCTGCACATACCCCAAAAGCGCAGATCTGTGTCAGGAGCCCACCCAAGTGCCAGGGACTTCTTCCAGGCTCTCGATCGCAGTAGGGGACACACAAGCCATCTTTAGCCTTTCCCAGACTCTGAAGCTTCTGGCTTTCAGAGGATGGTCTGAAATCTCACCCACAGACCTGAACTCTGCAAGTCTTCTCTAGGCATAGACTTTAAGCCCTGCTTTTCCACCACTTCCTATGTTTACTTTCCCCTGGGTGAATGCAGGAGCTCCACCTACTTTTTCCTTGAGAACCCTGATATTAGCCTTTCTAAATCACCATCCCTCAACCTGGTCACCCTAACATCTCAACTTATTATGACCATAGCTGCCCTGAAGTCCTTGAAGATAAGGACTCTTTACTTCTCTCCCTATCTGACCAACCCATCCCTAACCCAGACCATACTCTGTTTGTTTACAGCAGATCTTGTACAACTTTTGAAGGTTACCATTATGCATCCTATGCTGTAGTTTGCATAAAGAGAGTGTGGAAAGCAGCATCTGATCAACACCTCATTCATCATCTTTTCTAAGCCCCTTTGAGCTGATGTATGGCCAACTGTTCCTGCTCAACCATAACCTACATGCTGAACACCCTCTTTTAACATCATATCTTCTTTATCTCTCTCTCCTTAGACCATTACTCTGGAACACGCAGGCTGCTGCATACCTAGATCCTCGCCTGAATGTCTAGACCAGACAGCTGGAGTCACCCCAGAAGATGTCATTCTCATCAAATACCATGCACCCAAACCTCTTCAAGCACACTAAGACAGACCTTATGCAGTCATCCTAACTACACCCACAGCAATTAAGGTCATAGGTAATTCCTGTTAGCACTACCTTTCCCAAGTCAAACATGCTCCTCTCACTGACCTCCTACACCTCTCAAATGATGATTCTCATTACTCTTTACCCCACTCAGATCCCAAGCCCTAAGTAGCTCTTCATATTGTTACTAATTGCTCCCTGCCTTTTAAAATTCTTCACAGGATAAAAGAAATGACGAACATAATGGTGAAACAGTCGCTATGGCATCCATATTCTTCCCTGGCTACAGCCTCTGAGCCCCAGATCTTCACCTCATTCATCAAGAAGTAGCTACAATAAAAATACATCACTCTTTTTCTCACTAAAGAGGCTAAGATGTCAGGACCCGATCAAAGAAAAGGGGAGAATGAAGGATTCAAAGAATAAGACATGTCAACAAAGGGAGTGAATGACTTCACCCACCTGGCTAAACCACAATGGAATGCCCCTCCCTTCCTTCCCTAAAAAGCCTCCCAAGAACTTCCTAAAAGTGAATTCCTTTCTGAGACCAAAGAACCTCAATTGAGAGCTCCCTTAATAAAGCTTCTTAAGCTTTCTCTCTTGTTCTTGCCCCTTTCTTGAGTCCTTGGCCTTACATCTGGTGTGAAGACTCAACACTAAGTTTGTGTCAGTGAGGAGAGTTTGAGAAATTATGCTGTTAGAAAGGGTAAAACTTTGAAAACTTTACTGCTCTATTTAAGATGTGTTATGCACAATTTTTGTGTAATGGGAAAAAAATACAAAACAGATGGAGAAAAGATTCAAGCTGTCAATGATTTCATCTTACTTGGATCCACAATCCAATCAAGATACTTGGTACCAACAGTCAGGAGATTGGAAGACATACTGCATTGAAAAAATTCTGTAATAAAGGATCTCTTCAAATTATTCAGGAGCGATGATGTCAATTTGAGGACTAAGGTGAGTCTGATTCAGGCCATGGTCTTTTTGATCACTTGCTATGCATCTGAGAACAGGACACTGAATAAGAATGACAGGAGAAGAATTGATGCCTGTGAACTGTGGGGTTGGAGAAGGGTATTAACTATCCCAGGGACTGTCAAAAGAACAAACAAGTATGTCTTAGAAAACGTGCAGCCAAAATGATCCTTAGAGGCAAAGATGATAAGGCTTCATCTTACATATTAGGTTATATTGCTAGGAGAGGACAATATCCATTGGAGGTGAATATCATGCTTGCAAAGATTAAAGGTTGGCAAAAGAGAGAAAGGCCCTCAACCCAATGGATTGACACAGTGACTGTGGGCAGCAGTCAGTGTGTCAAGAATTGTGAGGACAGCACAGGATAGAACAGGGTTCATACCTATTGTTCACAGGGTTGCTATGAGTTATGCTCAACTCTACAGCAGCTAACAACAGCAACAAAAATAATCAAAGAGCCTCAAAATACATAAATCAAACTTTAGTAGAAATGAAAAGATAAATAGATAACTTCATAATAATAACGGATTTTAATGTAGCACTTTTTATCAACGAAACAATTATACATCAGATGAGCAGAGCACTGTGCTAAACAAAAGATCAATATACATCCTTTTCCAGTGTACATGAAATATTTTCCAGAATAAACCATATGTTAGGCCACAAAGTAAACCTCAATAATTAATTAAAAATAAATAAACAAACAAACAAATAAAGACTAAAATAATCAACTCTGTTCACAATGCTATAAAACTAGAAATCAACAAAAACAAAAAAGGTCAAGCAAAAGGAAATTTGGCTCTCTCTTCTGCTTCAGGACTTCACTTGATTTTGTTTAGTGAAAATTACTCTTGGTTGCTATCAGGTAAACAAAAAACCAGTGGCCATAGCGACCTTGCATGTTTCAAAGTAAAACAATGCTCCAGAAAATTTTAAATGGCTAATTTGGGGGAGAGTTAACCACTAGACCTTAATTCTAAGTGCATTTAGGTAGCTTCAAGGTCCCATTCTTTCAGTCAGCAGCCAAGGGATAACTTTTTTGCAGCATTCAGGGATTTAAGCAGTAGCCTTGGTTTCTGTTTTCTTTCTTAAAATGAATTTTTGTTTTTGTTAAAAATATATCCAATTAAATACATGTCAATTCAACTGTTCTATGTGTACAATTCAGTTACACTAATTACATTCTTCAAGTTCTACAACCATTTGTTAGGTCTTTGCACTGGACATAAGGCCAAGGACTCAAGGAAGGGACAAGAGGAAGAAAGAAGCTTTATTAAGGGGGCTCAGAGGCAAGATCCTTTGGCCTGGAGAGAGAGAGGGGAAAACCTGCACCTTGAGGTGGATTAGGGCAGGTTTTATACTAAGGATCTTTAGGGAGGGAAGAGAGGGACATTCCATTGTGGTTTTGCCAGGTGGGTGGTCTTCTAGGGAGGAAAAGAAAGGGGATCCATGGTAGTTTAGTCAGATAGGCAAGGCTGTTTACTCACTTTCTTGACATATTGACATTCCTTAAATCCTTTATTCTCCCTTTGACCTTGGTCCCTGCCTGACACCATTCTCATCTTCTGTTTCAGAATTGTTTCTCAACTCACATTCATTTACTATCTCTTAAGCTTCCTATTAAAGCTTTCCAATAGCTACTGTCACATTTATAAGGTTGAAAAATCAAAGCAATTCCATTTATTTGACCTTCCATCCTGACCTTAATCTATTCCTGTGTTCCAGGAAATAGTAAAGAATTCCTCCCTATATCCTTATAAGTTCAAGACAATTGAGCAGACATTTTTAGTTATTGCTTTTGCTCTACAGATAGAGAGTCAAGGAGACAAATTGAGTAACTTGTAGATAAAGACAATTAGAGCCAACTCCATACAATGAAGCTGAGTCTTCTGGTTCTTCTTGGCTGACATTCAAGACTTCCAGGTGAGCAAAACATACCTGAGAGAGAAAAGCTGATCAGTCTTCGACTTCCTTGCTCTTGAACAGTATCATCCGGGACAACATTTTTAAAAATCTGAAAAGAAGAAAAATGATACACAAGCAAAACAAGTGTTGAAATTTATCCTCAAACTAATACAAATATAATCTCTTATTTCTCCAGTTATAATCAACAAAGCCAACAATGTGATTTCATTAAGCAACTATTGATTAAAATTAGCTTCTAGCAATTTAATGTCTTTCTCAATAACTAATAACCTAATTGTTGTGAATGGTGGTGGTAGAGTACAAAGGATTGGAAATCAACAAACACAATTACTGTACTATTATAAGCCCACTGTATTACTAATATAAACAATTCTATTTCACATTCAATTTGGCAAAAGTAAGTGCTTATTAACAGAGCCTTTGGCAGTAGAACAAGTCAATAGATATTTGCTGTTGTAGTGATAATGTGTTTGCATTTTGCAAAGAGAACTGTTCTAGTTCTTAATTTTGTGATCTATTTAATCATGTAGGGATTGCTTGGCACTTTTCTATGAAGGAAGATCCTGAGCATAGTGTTAAGAAGCTAGATTGTGAAAATGTTTTGTTTTCTATCATTGTTCAATACACGTTAATAGATTAATTGGGACAAGTAGTGTTCTTGAATCAATTCTCTTCTAAAAACTAGTTTCAGGCTAGAGGATTCTGACTCAGTGAGACTCCATACAGGATCTTCCACTGTGTGACTTTTTGAAAGTAGATTGCCAGGTCTTTCTTCCAAGGCATCTCTGAGTGGACCTTAACCACCTTTATCCTTTCAGTTGGCAATTGAATGAGGTAATCATTTGAACAACTTAGAAACCACTTTAATTTCTTCTAAGAAAGTTTTATTTCTAAATTATTCTGAATAATTATTTTAAAGCAAAATAACTTTTTCTAGTTCCCTTTTCACATATTGCCAAAGATGTTTGCAGAAAATAATGCTTAAAAAATTACTATGAAAAAATACTGTGTCCACTTTTTAGAAGATATTCTATATTAAAGAACACAAAATAATTAAACATACAATAGTCTATTGATTAGAGTCTCTTTGCAGATTACATATCTTATTACATTTATTTTCTGTGTCTCAAAATTCTTAATGCCATAAGAGTGGTGAATGAATGTTACCAAACCTGTAGGAGATGGGTAATAAAACTGGCCATCACTAAAACATAAAGCTTCAACCCAAGGGAAGTAACAAGAGGTTTATATACATGTTTCCTCTATGACAGGTCAATAGATTTGGCTTGTGGGACTTAGAAACAGCTCTTGGGAAAAACTGTCTGCACATAAGCCCTAATGTGTGATGTCAGCTCAATGATGTTGGGAGGCCTAGCAAAGGGAAGAATATGCTGTGTACTGAGTGAGATTAAAAAATCAGGAAATTCATCAAAGAATCTCTATTTTAGATTTTAAAAAAATCATAAATAGAAATGTTTTCTTATAATAATCAATGACAGATGTGGCCAGGATGACTAAGCCATATTGGTTGATCTCAAGGCACTAGCTTCTTCACTTTGTAGAGTCTTCCTTCATAGTTTCTATTTGTTTTTAATATTAATTGGCTGATTCAGACAATAAAAGTCAACAGGCCCCTCAAAGACGGCATCATCAATATGGACTACGCTAATAAATCTGCAATAACCACTATATGCACATCTTAAAAATTCTTTAGTGTCATGGACTTTTTACTCTTTTACAAACTCTTGCTTCAACAAAGACCAGAATGAGAATTTCAGGAAGTGTTCCATAAAGTTCTTACAGGTTGTACTTGCCCAAGTAAAATAATTACAGTTTAATACTGAAGTCTTCCCTACCCCTCCCCCAATTCTAGTTTTAAAATGTCAACAGCTAACTTATATTCTTTTTAGGATAAAAATTATTTGTGGCTACAACAAAAGGTATAATTGTAATAGAATCTTAAAGGTCTAGAGTGGGTGTATTTACATTTTAAATAACGTGTAGGATTAGGCAGAACATTTATATTGATAGTAAAAACAAGCTTAAGCATACAATGAAAGCAAAAAATAGTAAATTTGTTCCTTCCTACTTAAAGAATAATGTTGCGATCTACAACTCAGCCTTCCTGTCTGCTACCACTACAGCCTTCCTGTCTGCTACCACTGCAGCCTTCCCATCTGCTACCACTACAGCCTTCCTGTCTGCTACCACTGCAGCCTTCCCGTCTGCTACCACTGCAGCCTTCCTGTCTGCTACCACTGCAGGTACTGACTACAGTTCCCAGAGGTCTGTGGGGAAATGCCATCTTTGTAAACTTG